CGCCAAGCCCTGCAGTAGCCCCCGCCCCGGCGTCCAGCGGGGCGTGTTGCCACGGAAACGGGAGACTGCAGCGCAGGCGCATACGGCCTAAGCCAGGGGACCGGCACTGCGCGTGCGCAGCGTCTCGTTGCTAAGGCCGCCTCGCTCCCACTTAAGTGAATTAAGTGAGCTTCCCGAGACTCCGTTCGCGACGGGAACGATCGAAGCCCCTCTCTGTGCCTGCGCGCTTCGTGCCCGCGAAGCACCCCTGGCTGTCGCCTTTTTCTGCCCCCAGTAAGAAGCTATCCCCACTGCTCATTTCTTCCTCCAGAAGAACCCCCTCTCCCGGCCCCCCAGCCCCTGGGCGCTCCTGGTTATACACTGACCCTTGCAACCGGCCGCCTTGGGAAGGCAGCAACGGAGAAGCTTCCCGGTGGACGAGGGAAAGAGGGAAAGTAGCCAACCATGTCGAACGCGTAAGTGATGGGCTCCCGGCCACAGTCGTGGGGTGGGCTTCTCCAAGTCAGGAAGCAGCTTGCTTTGCTTCTCTTCTTTTCTTTTCTCCTTCCCTCCCTTCCTCTACTCTTCCCTGCCCTCCCCTCCCCTACGTTTTTACCTCAGGATAGAGTACCCACTCCTTGCGGGCAAGAAAGGTCCTACTCCCCCCCCTCCCCCACACATCCCACCACCCCAATGAAGATGCTCACTTGGCCAAGCCTTTGCTGATGTATTACTAAGGAAACAGTAGTATGTCTTATTATTGCTTTTTAAAATCACACTTTCACAGTAGTTAATGGATTGCTCTGTGAAAACACCCAGAGTCCTGAAATTTCAGTCTAGAAAGAGCTTGAGGAAGCATTATTTTACTTTGCTCTTCACCAGGTCAGGTGGTAGTGATACTGAAAAGAGTGTTACCTAGCCTGGTACCTAGAGTGTACCATTGACACAGCACTTACGTACAGCTACTTCATTTTGTCTTTGTAATGATAATTTCAAACAGGACTACAGTGCTGATGCTGTGGACACTGTTGCAGTGCTTGAAATCTAACACTGACAACTCACCAGCGCCTTATTTCATATTTATGAAGCCTCAGAAGGTCTGTCCGCATCGGCCGTGTTTCCCTGGAAACTGCATCTGCGCTTGGCCTAGAATAGATGCCCACTAAAGTTCTAAACGAACGAATGACTTGTATAGCCACTTTACACAGCAACTCTGTAACACAGGGACTGTTAACATTATTATTTCAGTTTTACAGATGAGGAAACTTAGGTCCAAAGGGCTGAAGTAGCTCATATGGCAAGTAGATGATGCCAAGCCAGCCACTGTAGCTCCAGCCTGCACTCTTACTATTGCTAATTCTATTTTCTAGGCAAGGAAATGGGAGCAGAAAGGTTAAGGGCTTGCCAGGGTTTGGGGGTGGGGGAGATCAGGAATTCAGTTTGGCACCTGTCAAGTTTGAAGTGCCTGTGGGACGTCAAGTGGAAAGCAAATAGGCAACTGAATATTCAGGTCCTGGGTTTAGGCGAGAGGTATATGTATGAAATATAAACTTGACCGCTGTTGGCATATGGTGGTATTTGGAGACATAGAGTGAGTATCAATAAAGAAGAGGTGTAAGGACTAAGCCTTGGGTCACCCACGATAAGAGACTAGGGAGAAGAGAAGAGGAGGCATTAGCAAAGCAATCAAAGTCTTGATTGGTGAGGAAAAAGCAAAATTAAGAAGTTGTGGAGTTCTGAAATCCAGGAAGAAAAAATATAGTGTTTCTAGGAGGAGGAAGTGACAAAGTCCACCAAATGCTCCTGAGACAAGTCAGAAGAGAACTGAGAATTGACTGTTGATCAGCTTGGAGTCTACCAGTGACCTTGATAGGAACTGATTCCGTGGAATGATGGGACAGAAAGATTTATCCAAGTGAGTATAGGAGGAGAGAAATTGTAGACAGTGAGTATAGCTAACTCTCTAAAGGAGTTTTGTCACAAAGAAAAGGAAGTGGGTTGCTAACTAGTGGCAGGGGACACGGGTCCAGAGACAGATTTTCTTTTATGATAGGAAAACAATAGCATGTTTCTGTACCAAATGGCCCAGTGGTAAGGAAAACCGGACAGTGTAAGAGGAGGAGGGAGATGTGGGTGAAGTCCTTGGTAGTCAGAGGGCATGGGATCCAGGGGACAGCTCAGGCTACTGGCTTTAGATAGAGGAGCTCGGCATTTAGCAGTGGGAACAGGTGGGAAGGCAGCATCCAGATGCTACTCGGTGGGTAGATGTCCTGGCAGGGGTCTGGAAGGATGATGGTAGACGGACGATGACGGAGTTTGAGAGGCAGTGGTGACAGCATCTGATGAAATGGGAGCCACAGCCAGGGAATGTCAGGGGGAGGGAGGGGAGATGGTCTGGAGGTCCCATGACCCAACCCTATAACCAGGTGCAGGAAAGCTCTGGGGGAAAAGGGAGCCTCTGCCAAGAGGGTGTCAAGACAGGGCCAGGCCTTCCTTAGAGCAAGAAGACAGAAGGAGTATTCAGGGAAGAAAATGACAGACTAGATCATATTGGCAGAATCAGAAGGTTTTATCATGTGCAAACTAACTTGAGGAGAATTCCCATTTTGCAATATTTAGACTTCCCAGGAAAGTACATAGTATATCTGAATATTCATGTCTTTCCTTCCCCCATGCCCTCAGTTATAAGAAAACTGCCAAGCGGTAGAAATTAGGCTGGTCTTTTTCAACTGTCGTATTGTCTTCACCACCACAATCCCCCTGACTTCAAAATCTGTAACATTTCTGTGTCATATGCTCAAGTCTGAAACCAATCATTTACTTTTTTAAAACCATTAAATAAGCCAGGCTCAGTGGCTCAGCCTATAATCCCGTACCTTCGGGAGGCTGAGGTGAGTGGATTGCCTGAGCCCGCGGGTTCGAGACCCGGCTGGACAGCAAGACCTCATCTCTACAATAAATCAAAAAATCATCCAGGCGTGGTAGCACATGCCTGTAATTCCGGCTACTCAGAAGGCTGAGGCGGAAGGATCGCCAGAGCCCAGCAGGTCAAGGCTGCGGTGGCCGGGAGCGGCCACTGCACTCCAGTCTGGGCAACAGAGTGAGACTCCAACTCAAAAAAAAAAAAAAAACCATTGAATGGTCTCATGGATAAAATACTACCTTCTTTTTACAAGGTGCTTATAACACCTTGTAAATTTCAAGAATTCTTAATTCTTTCACATCTGTTATTCTATCCCACAATAATCCTTCTGGGTGCCCAGAGTTGGTGTCATTATCCAGATTTGTCAGTTGAAGAAGCGAAGGAAGAAGGAGGTTAAGTGACCTGCCAGGGATGAGCTGCCTCGGGAGACAGATTCTGGTGTTAAACTTATAGCACTCTTACCTTTAAAAACCACTTTGTCATAGCCAAGAAAAATAAAAACATGTGTCCACACAAAGCTTGTGTAGGAATGCTAATGGTGGCATTATTCACAACAGCAAACTAGGCAGAAGCAACCCCAGTGTCCATCTGCTGATGAATGGATGAGCAAAATATGGTGTGTTCATACATTAGAAAAGTATTTGGCAGTTAAAAAAAATGAAGTATGGATTATGCTACAGCATGGATGAACTTTGAAAACATTGTGCTAAGTGAAAGGAGCGGTATGATTCTATTTATGTGAAATGTCCAGAATAGTGGTTGCCAAGGGCTGAGAGGAATAGGAAGTAAAGAGTGATTGCTTCATGCGTACAGTTTTCTTCTGGGGTGATGAAAGTGTTCTGAAATTAGATAGTGGTGATGGTTGCACAACTTCGTGGATATACTAAAATCCACTGAATTGTATGCTTGTAAAGAGTATATTTTATGCTCTGTGAAATTATATCTCAATATACTCTTATTAAAAAATCATCTTGCCACATCCCTTGTGTCACATGATCTTCATAGGTACTGGCTTAGACAGAAGAATGCTAAGACTGCAGGGTAGGGATGTTGGGGGTGGGTGCCAAGCCAGATGGTCTGAGGGGAGTGGGTGCCCAGGTCGTTTATGGTCCAGCACTTGCATGATGGGGGTGTAGTCACCTGCAGGTTGTCAGGGCAGCAGGTGGGCAGGAGAAACCAGAGGCATCCCAGGAAAGTAGGTCTGGCAGAAAGAGATAAAGCTGCCTCTCAGCACTGAGGAAAGCAGTGAAGATGCAGGGAGGAACCAACGTGCTCCCACAGCTGTTGAATGCTTCCATCAACTAGCCATTTTTGCCCAATCTCTCCAGATAAGGGTCCCAGAAAGACAGCAGGTGAGGAAGAAAGAGGCTGCAGTCCAAATGGTGGAACAAACCTGGAAAGTTGAAGCCACCAGGATGGTCTTAGGCTAAAAGTTCTATTTAGGAGTCAGCTCTGCATGGCCCTGGGGGTTTCCTGCTTCTTCCACCCTGATTGAAGCCAATGAGGGCACTGACCTGGGTTCCTGAGCTTCGTGGTTGGCCCTGCATCTGGCCCTGCAGGATTCTGAAAGCCTGGGTGTGTTCTCCTCCATCAGGTTAGCTGTAGTTCCCCGTGGTGGAGTCAGCAACCTCCTCAACCCAAGATCCCTTGTTGTTGTTGGGTGTGGATCTTTGTGGGGCTGGAGTCACTCTACCTATGTCCTTACAGTGACAGCCTCCTTAGCGTCTTGTACAAACTTAATACCCGTTGATGTAGTAAATGTCATGAGGTATGATAAGATGCCTTTTACCTTTTATTGTCCATTTCACCCCCACGTTTAAAAGTTATGACTAGATTTATTTATACTCTTCAGTATATTATTACTGAATTCTTAGTAAGACTGGTAATATGTCAGTCTTGAGAATTTTCCGTCTGTATAGTTTGTCTCTTTAAATAGGAACAGATATTACCATCTGCAATGTCCCGATCCTCTGTAGCTAGCATTCTAGAATTTTTTTCAGCTAGAGCCTGTGTGGCTCCCACCATATTAATTCTTAAATATTAAAGGTACTGTGAATGGAGTTTCTTTTTTCATTTTTTTTCCTCCACAATAATTTAAGTCTTGCAACTTTGCTATAAAAATTGGCTTATTTTTTGTTACTGATTTCCTTGGATTTTGCAGTCCTGCCATTTGCAAGCAGTAGTGCTAAAAATATTTTGTATGAATTCCTTACATATCTCCTTCATCCATTTTTACTGCTTTTTCTGAGGGCATATTTCTAACATCTCTCCAATGAAGATGTATTTGGTCTCTGATTTTTAGCATTTTTGAAGAAGTCGTCAGTGTTTGTTCCTTGATGTATGGGGAGGGCATTGGTTTTTTGTTTTTGTTTTTCTCTTTTAATTTTTTTATTTTAAAGATGTGGGATACAATTCAGGGTTAGGTATACAAATGTTTGTTATGCAGGTACCCTTGTTGAGGAGGTGTGCCCCCATCCCCTGGCAGAATCCCACTACTGCCAATCCCGCCTTCCCCCCTGCCCCCTGCGCCCCCATCCCGGCAATTTTCCTGCT